ACTGTTGTTGAAGAATCTGCAAAACTATGGAACACTCCACGGGTCTCATGCTTGGGCAGGGGCCGCGCCGATCTCTGCACCCTTCTGGTGTTAGTAAGTATGTCCTCGAAGGGAGCACTGAAACAGCTTATTCTTGATTTGGGGGTGATGACACAGACCCCATGGCTCAGGGACATTCACGGGCACAGCTTCGGTGCAGTAGATCAGTGGGGATTAGGACCTCCCCCATCAGCAGAATCAAAATCTTGAGTCAAGACAAGATTCATGTCATTGGTGGTGGCAGTGGGGTGCCATTGAGGCGGTTTGAACCCAGAGTGACCCCGGGCACACAGAACGAAACCCTGCCTGGTCCTGTGCCATCCTCACCATGGTTCCAATGCCCGAGTCCGTTGGTGCAGCTCCTGTGTCCATCCATCTTCTTGAGGGCCTTCCTCTATGAACAAGGATCACCAGGTCTTTCTTCAAAGGTGCCTGTGAGGAACCACCAACCTTTTGATTAGTTGCCAAGCACTTAACCATGTGTGGCACCCAGGGACTTCTGGTTAACCTCACTCCCTCTTAAGCCATTGACTCCTGCTTGTACCCAAGCAGCTGCCCTGGAGCTCGAGAAAGGCACCCCAACCAAGCACCATGCCAATGGGTCCCTCACCTTACATTCACTTCTCCAAGTATCACACACGTGCTCAGCATTGCCCGGCAATTCGACTGCATTGTTTCCCTGGTCAATTCACTCCTCTGCTTCCCCAGGTTTCCTTCTTCAAACTTTCTTTCTCTCAAACCTGAGCGTTACCTGTACCCTCCGCACTCGCAGCTAATTTCCCCAAGAGATTAGAAGCTGCAGAAGAACCTCATTTGTCTTCTCATCACCAACTCCACCTCCCCACCCCCCGCTCCCATGTCAGAACCCCATTTCATCTTCATGCAGTGGGGACTCTCTCTGCTCCTATGGGACACCAATCCCTCCCTGGGGCACGGAACTCCCATGCCACCTTTCTATACATTGCCTATCTCTTTTCCCTTCAGGAGGATTTCCACAAGCATAACCCACAAGCCCTGCTAGCTCTCATCTTTTAGAATGCCAGCTGTTTTCTACAACCAAAATGAGACCAAACTCACTGCCATT